TTTTTTGTTTTTTAAACTTTTTAAGTCATTACCCATACAAAAAAGATTAAAGTTTTAAAAAATTTGAGAAAGCAATTAGTTTAAATTAAAATTTTAACAAATTTATATTTGGGAAAAAATTTCTGAATTTTTTTTACAAAATGTTTTCTTGATTTTTTAAATATGATCTAGAAGTTTCTGAACCATCATGAACCATCATGAACCATAATGAACCATCATGAACCATCATGAACCATCATGAACCATCATGAACCATAATGAACCATAATGAACCATCATAGTCTTTTCTGCATAACTCACATAGTTGTTGAACAAGGACTACTAGCTCCTGAGATAAGTATCCTTGGTGTTATTAAATGGACTTGATGATTTCTTCTGCACTTTCAGGGTTAATTGATTTAAGTTTCCTCATTAAATAAAAGAAATGCAGGTGGTTAGCTGGAGTACCAGTAAAAAAGGCAAATCTACTCAGCCATCCTCTTAACCTTTTTTGCTTCTTCGTCATTAAGTTTTAAAAGTATGATAGAGTATGAATATTTTTTTTATAATAAATGGCTTTTGACGTCCTTCTTGCATGATAATCAGAACCAGCATACCATGCGGAAATATATCTTTTAATATGTCAGCCGAAAAAAAAGAAAAAAAAGCTCTAGTAGTTCCCCATAGTCCTCAAAAGGAAAGGTTTTCTATCTAAGCATTCCATAGCTCATTTCTTTATTTCAAGTCATTGTTGAAATTAAAAAAAACTATTTTTGTCATGTGGCCAGTCCCTAATTCTAAGTTCTTTTATATTCTTCTTAAGGTTATGAAATTCTGTCTTGAACCTTTCAAACAGCTGAATGCTTGCAGCTCTATTATATGCTCCACTGTTTGCAGCTGTTGTATCATAAATAAGTGCAAGAACATGTTTTCAACTGCTTTTATCATCTAATTTCATTACTAAACAACATTGTGTTTAACCAGTTCTATCTAAAATTTTATAAGTAACTAACAATCTAGGAGTTGACCCTTCATACACAGCAAGCTGTCCAAATTCAGGTGAAATCTAAGTTTCTTGAATTAATTTAGCTTCTTCAATTCTATTAGCTGTTCTTTCACTATTAACTGATGCTTTAGAAAGTGTAGTATTATTTAAAGCTGCTCCACCTACTGTCAAAGTATTTCCAAAAAAATTATGATCATTACCAATATTTGTAATATTAAAAAAACTAATAAGCTTCTTATCTTTTTTTATCAGGACTTTTAGAAAAAATTGTTCATTAGTTTTTGTAAGTATTTAATTTCCATAGTGCTTTTCCAATAATGTGGTTCAATAAATAAAACAAGTTAACATAACCGCCCACATTCTCCATTTATGTTTCATAACTGCCCACATTCTCCATTTATGTTTCATAACCGCCCACATTCTCCATTTATGTTTCTGACAATTTTTACTTTTTGTACTTTATTTTTATCTTTACAACTGGAACACCTGTGTTTATATTTTGAACACATGTAATGTTTAAAATAATTTTTAATGAATATCTTTATATAATTTTTTTAATGTATATTATTTAAAAAATTTTTTCACAGTCCATTGAAAAAAGTGAAAAATCAGATAACCTGTTAGAACGAACCGCTCATCTAAATGATCATTTTATGAAGAGTGTCTATAATAATGTTTGTCGCTCATTGTTAGAAAAAGATAAACTTCTTTTTTCATTTCTCCTTACAATCAATGTGTTGAAAGCAAGGTACGTGGAATTTTATATTGAATGTTAGAATTTTTATAAATAAAGTTTTCTAATAAATATTTCATTTTTATTGGTTCTGGTTAATGTCGATTAATTCACTTGTAGTGAAATAAAATTTTACTTTTTTGTGATTATTTACGCTAATTTTTTATGATTTTTTTATTTTAAACTAATTTTTTACTACTCATTATTTTTATGAAAAAAATATTCTCTAAATCAAATCGTATAAAGCTCTACCCTAGAATAAACTCTATAAAAATCCATCTTATATAATGGCAAAATCTAATATATCATTACATAAGATGGGCTCCTAGTTTTTTATAAATTGTTTTGATATTTTTTAATATTAAAAGAATTCTTTTTATTTTTAAATTTTTTTATGTATTACATTACCATAATTCTTTGTGTCTATAAAAACACTTTGTTTTTCGCATAGATTTAGTACTGTTTTATTCTGGTTTTATTTGTGCTTGCATTTTATAAAGTTGTTTTATTAAAATTATGTAAAAATTTGTATAATATATAAATTTCTAATAATTCAGATAATACATTTAAGAAGAAAATTTTAATCCGATTTTATTTTCTAGTTCTCAACATTTTAATATCTTTTTTTCATTAAGAAATGAAATAGATGATCAAGTATGGCGTTTCCTTTTAACTGGCGGTGTTGGATTAGATAATCCATACCCAAATCCGTGCTCTTCTTGGTTAAATGAGAAATCTTGGGCTGAAATTGTGCGTGCTTCTAATCTTGTAAAGCTTAATGGTCTAAAAGATCGTAAGGAAGTTGTTATTTTTTTAATGTTATAACTTAATTTTAAATTTTTGTCATAAAAACAAAAGGAACCTTTGCATCAAGTGCAAGTTGTTTTTAGCATTAGTATTTTTCTTGTAAAGGTAGTATTTGCAACATAGCTACAGTTACAAGCATTTTTCATTGAAAACATATATGAGTAATTTGTTTGTGATAATAAATGTGTAGTTTATGTTTTCATTCTGTCAGACCTGTTTATAATTTGTGATAGAATAATTTTTCAGCATACATTCATGCTGAAAAATTGTTTTATTTTTCTTTGAGTTCTTTAATATTCCCTTTCATCTTAATGTTTACCTGACACAATATCCTGACTCACATAATTTCCAAATTTGGAGTGAATTTGATTTAAAAAAAAAAAGTTTAATGTTTAGAAATGAATCTTCCAGGATGGAAAGTTGTTTATGATTCTGCAACTCCTCATCTGGAAAAATTCCCTCAAGCATGGGATAAGTTATCAGGCATCGAAAGGTTGTAATTATTCCTAATTTATTTTATATTTTTTATGTTTGCAATTTTAATTTCTTGGTTACTGTGACAACAGTATTTTCAAAATAGTTATGCATGAGTGAATATAAAAAAGTTTGATGCTTTTTTTTCAAAATAGTTTTAAAATAACAACAATATTTTCAGTCTATATAAAGTCATTTTCACATTTTTTAATTCATTATCCAATGTCAGAAAAAATCTTGAATTATTGTGTTAAATTAAGCTTAGAGTTTATATTTAAAATTGATTTTTTTTATTAAGTTATGCCTTTAAATGGTGCTGAGTTGTTTGCATATGCATAAATAACATCATAAGCTGTCATAAAAATGTTTAGGCCTGTAGGTTAATTGTTGTCTCATAATTCATCAAGTAAATGTGTTTCATTACCTTTAAGTTTCTGGAGTTGAAGCATAATATAACTAAAATAAGGATTCCCAAAATAAACTCCGAGGTTAGTAGAAAACCAGACATGACTTGGATTCAGAAAAATTTCTAAAATAGGTTTCACTTTAGATTAAAGTTATGTAAGAATATTTATTATTTATATTTATTTTATGTAATTTAATTATGTAAGAATATTTATTATTTATATTTATTTTATGTAATTTAATTATGTAAGAATATATATTATTTATATTTATTTTATGTAATTTAATTATGTAAGAATATTTATCATTTATATTAAAATATGTTTTAATGCTCTGATTTAATTCAATTAAAAAAATATTTTTCAGGCTTGCAGTATTGCGCTGCATCAGACCAGATAAAATTATTCCAGCTATACAGGCATAACTTTTTTTTTTTAATTTTTCAAGTTCTATTTTTGTCATTTTATTTTTATAGTTTTGTTTATAATTAATTAGCTTTTTGTCACAAGAAATTTGCACATTTGTTTGCTAGGATTTCATTATTGTTACAATGGGTGCATTTTACATTGAACCTCCAACATTTAACTTGCCATTAAGCTTTAGTGATGCAAGCAATACTACTCCATTAATATTTGTTCTTTCTCCTGGTGCTGATCCTATGGCTGCTTTAAAAAAGTTTGCAGATGAAAGAGGCTTCGGTGGAGATTTGACTCAATGCATATCTCTCGGACAAGGACAAGTATGAGACTTAAATCAAGTTACATTAATAATTAGTTAAACTTTAAATAAACAACTTACTTATTATTTTTTTGTTTATTATGTTTTTATAAAAAAGATTTATGTTGGTTTATTATTTAAATTGGTTTATATTTTTTTATATGGTTTTAGGGTCCAATTGCGTATAAAATGATTCAATTAGCTTTGAAAAATGGAACCTGGGTTGTCCTACAAAATTGCCATGTAGCCACGAGTTGGATGCCAACTCTTGAAAAGATTTGTGAACAAGATATAATTCCAGAAAATACTCACCCCAATTTTAGGTTATGGCTGACAAGTTACCCATCGCCAAGTTTCCCTGTATCTATTTTAGAAAATGGTATATTTCCTTTAATTTGAAAATGCAAACATTTTTTTTTCAAATATTTTTTTTTTTTTTTTTTTTTTTCTCAAAAATTTTTTGTCAAACTTAAGGGTTTAACCAAATGATATGATCAACCAAATAATAATAGTTAAAGCTAAAAATGAATCTTGTGGGTTTACAAATCAAATTTATAAACAATTTTTAGTAGACCTTTGATATCCGGTGAATGTATATTATAAGTTATTTTAACTAATTTTCAATACATGTTTGGGTTGTTTATGTTTTGTTTTTTTTTGTTTAAATTCATATTAAGTCAAGTTTTTCTACTTTTAAAGGTGTTAAAATGACTAATGAACCTCCCAAGGGAATAAGGGCAAATTTACTTAGATCATACACTAATGATCCCATATCAGACAATGAATTTTATAGTAGCTGCAACAAGGTAATATATTTGTTTTTAGAATTGATTTTTTGATTATTGAATAGTGAAACTACTTTTCCAAATTTTCATTTTGATACCATCATAAAACTTTTTATTTGTTTATTTCTATCTGGTACTATTGATGAATACTTTTTTTATTTGTTGATTTTTATCTGGAACTATTGATGAATACTTTCTGAGTTAAAGTAAAATAATGCTAATTACAATTTTTAAGTGACTTTTTTTATTTATTTTTTTACATTCGTAGTTACTGCAATGGGAAAAAATGCTGTTCGGATTGTGCTTTTTTCATGCTTTGGTTCAAGAGAGACGAAATTTTGGTTCACTAGGATGGAACATACCTTATGAGTTTAATGAGTCTGACTTACGCATTAGTATGAGACAGTTGCAGGTTTATAATCCTTGATTTTTGTTTTGTAAACTATTAGTTTTTTTTTTTAATTGTCATTTTTTTTTGAATAGATGTTTCTCAATGATTACAATGTTGTTCCATTGGATGCTCTGGTGTATTTGTTTGGTGAATGTAATTATGGTGGACGAGTTACTGATGACAAAGATCGTAGATTGTTACTCTCTTTACTTAAAAATTTTGTTTGTGAAAAAGTATATAGTGTTGATCAATATTGGTAAATACAAGTTATTTTAACTTTTTTTTTATTATAACTATTATATATATTTTTTATTATAATTACTATAGCAAGTATATTTTTTTTACTATAATTCTTATAGTATATATAATTTTTTTATTATAATTTGTATAGTATATATAATTTTTATTAAATACTTATTGCTAATATTTATTTCTACAATTATGTTATTACATCAATAAAAATATTTTTAGTTTTTCACCGAGTGGACTTTATTATGTCCCCAGTAAAAATGGTCTTGAAACATATGTTGAGTACATAAGAGCACTTCCAATATTGTCTAATCCTGAAGTTTTTGGTCTTCATGAAAATGCTGATATCACAAAAGAACAAAAGGAAACTCAAGATGTAAAAAAAGATACAAATTCATACTTTTTTAAATACTATTGTTAAAAAAAAATTGTTTTTTTAAATTTTGAATTTAGTTATTTGACAAAATTCTACTGTCTCTGCCTCGTCAATCTAGTGGACCTGGTAAGTCAACTGCTGACTCAGTATCTGGTTTAGCTGACAGTATACTAGCAAAGTTTCCACAAGAATATAATTTAGGAAGTGTAGTGAAAAAGTTTCCAGTTTGTTATGAAGAGTCAATGAATACTGTTCTCAAACAAGAGTTGATTCGATTTAATCGTTTAATAAAGATTGTCCGCACTTCATTAGTTGATATTCAAAAGGTTATTAAGGTAGACTTTTTATTATTATTATTATTATTACCATCGTCATATATATATATATATACATATATATATATATATATATATATATATATATATTATATATATATATATATATATATATATATATATACATATACATATATATATATATATATATATATATATATATATATATATATATATATATATATATATATATATATATATATATATATATATATATATATATATATATATATATATATATCATTTAGAGTTAAATTAACATTTTGTTTCTTACACGAATTTGTCAATAATAATATGCGATGCAATAATAAATATTGGTCATCATGATGACCAATATTTTAGTGTCATTTTAATTTATTTAATTTGATAAACTTTTTATTTTGTAACACTTATACATCATGATGATGACAGTAATGATCATGACGGTGATGATGATCATGATCATTGTAATGATTATCATCATGATAATCATGAAGATAATAATGATGATGATCATTATCATCATGATTATTATGCTTGTCATCTTCACGATCATTATTATCATCATTGATGATGACAATCATGATCATGATGATAATGATCCTAATGATGATGACAATGATTACCATGATGATGATCATCATAATAATCATCATTATGATTGTCATCATAATCATCATTTTTATCATCTTGATCATCATCATGGTTATCATGATTATAAAAGAATTCAAATATTACAAAAAGGGAATATGTTATTTACATAAATGTGTTATGCAAGTTACATAAATGTCTTTCATAACTTACATTAATCTATTATTTAATATACATAAATGTATTATGTAATTTACATAAATCTGTTATGTAATTTATATAAATGATATAATTGTGGTGGTGGTGTAGTAGTAAAATGCTCGCTTCCTAAGCGAGATGTTCTGAGTTCGATCTCCACTGCGTCCCTGGTAGTACCAGGCTCAACTTGTTTCTCCGTGCAGCGGCCTTGTTTGTCAAGATTTGTGTTTCGGAGTTATAGAGTTGAGAGAAGATTATAACCATTATTAAGTAGTCTCCTCATCTGTAGTGGTCTTCTTGGCCTTAAGGAGGTAAATAACAAAAAAAATATATAATTATAATAAATAATACATTAATAATGTGTACATGGTGATGTATTTATATTTGACAATCAATAGTTTTTTTTTGACAACTTTGCTTCCAACAAAGCAACCACTAATTAGAGTTGGAAGTTACTGAAAGAGAAAAGATGAAATTATAGAACAAGATAACGATTGACAGACAACTTAAAAGATTGCAAATTATATGAATCAGGAAAGCAAGATGAAGGAAACGAATTCCAAAGAACTGATGTTCAAGGGAAAAAACTAGATGAATAAGAGTTTATGGAGCACTTAGGAACAGTCACAGAGAAAGGATGAGACTTAATTGAATGACAAGTAACACGAGAATGAATTTTAGTAGATGGCACAAGAGGTGCTAGCTCTTTTGAGCAGTGCCCATTATAGTAATTGTAGAAAAGAGAAAAAGTCAGACAATGTGATAATGGTTGGAGGTTAGCTGCAAGAGCAGGTCCAACTATGTTTACAGATACTGCTTTCTAGCAGGCTGGAAAACAAGACTCTGATAAGCACTTGTTGAATAGTTGTGAAAGTATAGACAACAGCTCTGGAGAACGCTTCTGCAAGACTATAACAGGTATGTTGTCCGGGCCACAAGCTGTAGAAGAGTCAAAGCAGGAAATCTCTTTAGATACAGAAGCTGGAATAATATGAATGTCAAGCAATCGATCAACCTGTTTGATAACTATATCAGGTAGAACGTAACTAGTGGAATCAAGAAATGATATTAATGAAAAGTTCTTAGCAATTAATTCAGCTTCATCTTTAGCTGAAGTGACAAAGTCTGAACCATACAAGAGAGGTGGATTTACAGATTTCCTCTTATTATTGATACTATTAAAGAAGTCACGAGACTAAAGTAGCTTTAAGGTAATCATAAGAGGTATGATGATAGAGGAATTCAGGTGATGAAGAAATATTAGATAACAGTTTTAGAAATATTAAATTCACCCTTAGGTGCTTCTGTGATCAGAAGCACCTAAAGGTGAATGTGGAGAAACTGAACACTGACTAGGATCAGAAACACACAAGTGGAGTAGAGAAAGTAAATAATTTGGATTGTCTGGAAAGCTGGTTGGAAAGTTGACAATTTAAGTTAGGGATTGTGAAAGGCAAAAGTTGTAGGCTTTAATGCCTGCAGAGTCACTGACACTAGAGCCAAGTCATTCAGTGTGGTGAGCATTAAAGTCACTGACAACAACAATATTGGTTGATGGATAAAAAGAGAGGGCTTGGTCAGAAATAACATCAAAAAGAGTGCAATCTTGAGATGAAGGAGATGGATATAGAACAAAGAGAAAGGTAATAGAGTGAAATAGCGCTAAATGAAAGCACATAAAAGAATAGTCTGTGGATTCAAACCTAGTTTCTCAACAAATGAGTGAATTCTTGCAAATGTAAATGCCCAGGCCAAGCATGTGACTATTGAAGCCTTAACGAATTAAAGGAAGGTAACCATCAACACTAAGATCACTAGATGAGATAGGCGAACTCAAATTAGTCTCACAAAGAGCAAGTAGGACTGGTGAACTTTGCAAAAGATAAGACTCAACAGAGAAAAAGTTACATCGAAGACCATGAATATTAGTGAATAATATGTTTAGAAAACTTGGTGATGATGATGTTTTTTTGTGTTTTATAGTTTTTGGTACTTTATACGACGTGATAATGGTTGGATGGTTGGATACAACCTCCAACCATTATCACATTTATTTTTAAATTTGTTAGCATAGATAGTATTCAGTACTCTGTTTAACAACGCAAGCAATTGCCTCATTACTATTAATAAATTCTAAGCCATAACAAAGGGCTCCAAGTGTGGCTATGGCAATGCACACCAAAAGTAAAAACAGGGACATCATCCATGCGCAACATAGCACTGTTAATACTTTGATATTTTTCAGCTGTTGTTGGAATCAGCCTTTCTGAGACCTACCACAGAGTTCAGGAAACCTGACATATATATATATATATGTGTGTGTGTGTGTGTGTGTGTATGTGTGTGTGTGTGTGTGTGTGTGTGTGTGTGTGTGTGTGTGTGATGATGATGTTATTTAATGAAGCATATTTTGCACACTTTGAACATTTTAATCTTTTCAAAAAACATTTTCATGTTGTTTATAAAATACAGCTAAAAATATATCATACGTATAAGCATGTGTTTGTGTATAAAGGATGCACGCTATTTATTTGTCTAAAATTAAAAGATTCTATTTAACATGCATTTGCAATGTTTCAGTCAAATTAACCATATTTTATTGGGTTTTTCTATTTCATTCAAGAAATATTTTTGCGCAATGAGGAAATATCATTGTCACTTTCTTTAAATAGTTTCTAAAGATTTTTTGAATTAATTGAGTACTTTTAAGTTTTTCCAGAATATTAACTTTTCTTTAGGAATTAATTTTCAAAATTTTTTTATCATACTAGATTTTCTATTGCCTTTGATGTCAACAAATTGTGCCATTTGCTGTTTTGAAATCTTTTTTTTGTCAGTTTCTTCAAAATAATCCAACTTTTTGTTGTTTGATTTTGGTGATTTGTCGTAGTCATTTTTGAAATAATAGATTTTTTTCATTTCTAAATTAAACTTTTTAACATTAATCTACATGCCATGTTATATAATATTACAAAACTGTTTTCCAGAACTCTCTTAAATTCTCTCTATATTAATATTTTATATTAATTATTGTCTAACTCGAATAAATACTTGACTTAATCTTGTTTTTTTGACATCTGTAGTTATTTTTAACTTTGAAAAACTCTGGAGAACACTCTGATTATAATTTAATCAGACTTCTTAGTATCTGGGAGAGTTAATGAGATAAATCCTTTTTTTTTCTAACTGCAGTAATTAAGTTATCTTCAAAGGCCATCACTCTTTTTGGGGTACCGCAAAGTTCTGATCTTTAGGAAGATCATTACTTGATTGCAAGTAATGATGGTCCTGACAACATCTAAAATTGCTCTATTCGTTGATGGCTAACCAGAGTATGGTTGACTCATTATGACTCAAGCAGAATATGATGACTCAACCAGAGTATGGTTGACTTAACCAGAGTATGTTGACTCAACCCGAGTATGGTTGACTCAACCAGAGTACGATGACTCAACCAGAGTATAGTTGACTCATGAACAAATAGAGCAACTATCTTGACCAAAAATCTTTACTTTTTGATCATTTAAAACAGGCAGTTTATTTTGAATCTAATCTCTCTTCTGTAACAGCTTGATGCTTGTAATGGCTTGTGAGTTTAAACATCACCAATAACTATTGCAATATTTTTAACATTCCTATATTGATGAATAGCAACCTTCTCACTGATTCATTTTCTTTATGTCTTCTTATATTATAGATCACTGCTGACCTTTCATAGAAACTAAATAAACAATACATTGCTAATTTGACATCTACTAAGGTTGTTTCTTTCAATTGTGTTCACCTTTTCCTTTTTTTCTGATACCATTCTCTATCTCTATAAATCTCTTATTTGTCCATGTATGGAATACTAATGTCATATTTAGGTTGGTTCATTTAATGATGCTCATATATCTTTCTGCTATTGTTCAAAAATGCATAGTAAATGTAGTTGTTCCTGCTTTACTTTTTAAGCCTAAGCCATTGTCCTTATGTCATAAGGTTGCATCTCTGTCTCTTTTTTATAAATACTATTATGATCAGTGCTTAACTGAACTATCATCTCCAGTTCAATCCATCAAAAACTCATTTTTGCTTAACTCATCACTCAGCTCATAAAATAAACAACGCTAGTCTCGGTCTTAGTCATGATATTAACGATCTTTTTAAAGTTCTCAAATGCAAATTGTATCCATATTGGTTGATTAAGAAAACCCATAGGTCTTATATTAACAACATCAATGTTGACGTTCGGAAAACCTACTAAATTAAATAATTTTTAAACTTCCTTATATTAGAAAAATATCAGATTTAACTAAACAAGGACTAAATGCAGTCATTAAAAGATATTGTAAATTGGTCACCGTAAGATTGGTTTTTACTTCGTTTAAAATTTCAAAATATTTTTCTATGAAAGATCACTTTCCTACAGACTTTAGTTCATTCGTTGTTTATAAATTTGAATGCGCAGACTGTAAATTCTGTTATATTGATGAAACAACTTGCCATTTAAAGACACGAATAATCGAGCACTAAAAAAGGGATAAAAACTCACACATTTATAAACATATTCATTCAAATAAAAACTGTTTTAATCATGCTAGTTTTTCAATCTTGGATTCGGCCTCCTATAAATTTATATTAAAACTCTAAGAAAGCATGTACATAGAGTGGGAAAAACCCACTATTAATAAACAAATGAACCATGTAAAAATGACAATCTAAAAATTTCAATCTAGTTCCTTTTTACATTACCGATTCTTTTATCTTATAATCTTTTTTAAAACATTTGTTACATTTTATATATATATATATATATATATATATATATATATATATATTTATATATTTTATATATATATATATTATATATATATATATTTATATATTATATATATATATATATATATATATATATATATATATATATATATATATATATATATATATATATATATATATATTAATAAATAAATAATATATTTTTATTATTATATATTTAAAAAAATATATATATATATTAATAATAGATATATAATATATTTTTATATATTTTAAGATAACTTATTTTTTAAAGAATTGAAAAAAAAAAGTTTATTTTTATGTGTTCTTGTTTAATTTTTTTTATTTTTCTTAATTTATTATATTTATGAACTTGCTTTTTTATTTAGGGTCAAGTTGTTATATCTTCAGAGTTAGAGGATATGTTTAACAGTATGCTTGTAGGTAAAATACCAACGGCATGGGCTACCAAGTCTTATCCTTCCCTTAAACCTCTTGGGAGCTATATTGCAGATCTCCTTGAAAGGTTTTTTTTTTTTTAATTTTTTTTGTTTGTATTTAACTTTTATTTATAATTATTACTTATAACAGTATATATTTTCAATAAAAAGGCTAAACTTCTTCAATGATTGGATTAATAATGGCATCCCTAAGGTGTTTTGGATATCTGGATTTTACTTCACTCAGTCTTTTCTTACAGGTTGGTTATAGTGA